GGGAGGGAGGGTTGAGGCGGCCGAGCGTCTGCGCGTGTGCATTTGAGCATGTGCGGCTCGCAATGCCGGCCCCGTCGACGCGCACGGAGCGGGCCTGGCAGCCGACAGGCGCGCAGAAAAGCGCGCGCCCCGCCGCCCGCCGCGCATCAAGCCGCCCCCGAGCCGGGGCCCCAGCCCCCAACACCCCAAAACCGCGCCGTCCAGCCGACCGCTGCAGCCATAACGCTCTTGCCCCCGCCCACCCCAGCACCCTCGGGCCCTGCCCCCATCCGTCCTCAGCCGCCGCCGCCGCGGCGGTGCAATTGGCCGAACGCCGCCGTATTGGTAATCAATAAAACCCACCAGGAGGGCTGCTCGCACAGGTGTGAGGAGTAGTGGTTGACCCCGAAGAAGTCGCAGGAGCCCCTCAGCAGCTCCCGCTGCTCCCGGTTGAACCGCGGCAGGCGGTTGCCCACCCTGTCGCGCATCACCGCAGGGTAGTCGCCCTTGGATCAGGGTGGGGGGCGGGGGACGAGTTTTTCCGAGGTTGGGTGGGGGAAGCGGGACTGAGGGCGGCGCTCGGGGCGTGGCAAATCGGGTTACACACGTCACAGGGGCGCCCGGCGCGCCTCTATCGGGACTGGGACTGCCGCTTGCGGCCCACCCGTCCGTGTGGCACCCAAACACTCACCCTACAGACCGCACACACGGTTTTCCGTCCCACATAAAACCCCCGCACGAACCTCAAAATCCACCTACACATACATACACATGCCTGTGTGTAATCACATGCATGTGTACTCACATCAACACACAAGCATGTGTGTTTGCACACGTGCATGTGTGTTGCACGTGCTCCCACAAGACCACCCCCCTCCCACCTGGTACACGGGCCGCGCGAACCAGCCCAGCGTGAACTCGAGGGCCCGCTCCGCCGCCAGCTGGTTGCGGCGCGCCTCCTCCGGGTCAGCCGCCGGCTTGGGCTCGTACCAGTCCCCGCTGAGCGCCATGCCCACCTTGCCGCGCTGCTTGCGCTTGAACAGTTGCCTGCGGGGGGCAGAGGGCATGCAGCAGGTGCGGCGTTGGTGAGCGGGCGCGCGGGCGTCACGAGCAGCGCTGAGCGGGGCTGTGCGAGGCTCTGGCGAGCGACCCTAAGTCGGACAGCGACTCTCATGATCCCGCGGCCAGGCCTCGGTCAAAAGGCGGTCAAGAACAGTCAACACCGTCGGTCAAACGGCGATCAAACCCACTGGTACGTGTCATACGCCTTGGCGTGCGCGAGCAGCATGTTGTGCGCCACCTTGTACACCTCACGGCTGGGGTCCACCATGCGCGCGGGCGCGTGCTGGCCGCCGCTGTCATGGCCCAGCACCGCGGCGCTCCATGGGTCGTTGAAGGTGATCCAATACCGCACCCTGCGAGTTTGTTGGGGATTTGGAGCTGGTGAATCTATGTGTATCAAGACGGCTCGGAGATGCTGCAATGTCTGACGTGTGACTGGAGGCCGTGAGATCAAGCGTGGGTCAAGTCCAGGCCAGCTGGCTGGGTCAGCTGCCAGGTCACTCGGCACCCCGGCTGTCGCTCAAGCGCGCGCTGCTCGCCAGGTCGCGTGTGCGACGCTGGCGCACACACTCCCCGACACGCTGCCCAACACGCGCGACCGCTGGGTTTGCCGCCCCTTCCCTGCCCCCTCATCAGGTGGCGGTGCGCGTGCGTCCTCCCCCGCCGCTCCAAATCCAGCGCCGCCCGTATGCCCGCCCCGCGGCCGGCCCCGCTGCCTCTTCCCCATCGCATGCACCCTGGCCTGCCACTCACTTGTCCCCGAAGCGCGTGAAGCACGTCTTGGCGTACTTCACAAAGTGGTCCACAATTTTGGGGTTGAGCCAGCCGTCCTCCTCCATCTGATGAGGTGATTGTTGGCGGTTGGTGGCTGGCGGTTAGTGGTTGGTGGCTGGTGGTTGCAGCATTGGGATGTGGCCGTGAGTGCAGGGGGGTGGGCGCATCACGCCAGCCGTCCATGTTGGTCTAAATCGAGGGGGTAGTTGGGGAGGGGCAGCTACAGTTTCCCGCAAGGGATGCCGGTGGTTGATGGCAGGCCGATGGCACCCTATTGGCATGGCTACCACGGCTGCTCAGGCCGCCCCCCCGCTGCCGAGCGGCTGGCAGCTGCGCGTGCCAGTCGTGCGCCTTTGGCCAGCCAGCGTCCCTAGCCAGCCAGCACAGCAGCCGTGTGGCCGCCGCCGTCCATCGCCTCCCTCAACCACCCACAACCCTCCCCCCAAAACAAACAACCAATCACCCCGCACGCACCTGCAGGCTGAGAGGCAGGTCCCAGCTGTACAGGGTCACGATCGGCATGATCTTGTTGGCTACCAACCTGCAACATTTTCAGGGGCGAGCGGGGAGGGATGAGCGAGGGAGGGAGGGACAAGGGTGCATATTAGGGATGAGCGAGGGAGGGAGGGACAAGGGTGCATATTGACGCGAAGACAATTCGCTGAGGCCCGTGGTTACGCGTGGCGGGGGTGATGTCTTGAAGTGCACACCACGAGCCGCCACGCTGATGCCAGCAGCTGGCGCCCCCATGTCCCTGGGCTGGCCGCCCAAACGCATCGAACGGCCTGGTCCTGTCATGTGGCTGTCTCGGCCACGCCGGACCGCTCCGACCCACAAGCGAACCCTCCGCACATCCGATCAGTGCGCCTCGGCCCTCCTCCCACCCGCCGCCCCAAAGCGCCCGACGGGCGCGGTCCCAGCACTCAAAGCACAGCACCAGTCCGCCCCAGTCCGGGTCAGTCCAGGCCAGTCCGACGCTCACTCCGTGAGCAGCCTGTCGTAGAAGGCCACCCCCCTCTCGTTGACCTTGCCCTTGCCGTTGGGGAACACGCGCGCCCAGCTGATGGACAGCCGGTAGTACTTTACGCCCATAGCCTTCATCAGGGCCACGTCTTCCTTGTACCTTTGGTGGGGGTTGGGGGACCCAGGGAAAACCGGTGGGGACATGCAGGTTGGACGGTTTGCGCGGGCGTAGCCGGGAGCCGACATGCGCGAGGCGCAAACCCACGCTCACGATGTGCTCCCCGAAAACTCCTGCCCTGCAGCACGCAAGGGGGCTGCCCGGCGCGCCCACTACCCCTCCCACCTGTAGTAGTGGCAGGCCGCGACGTCCCCCGTCCCGCCGCCGCGCACCCTGCCGTGCGCGTGCGCGAACGCGTCCCAAATACTCAGGCCCTTCCCCTCATCCAGGTACCCCCCCTCAATCTGATACGCGCTCGTCGCCGTCCCCCACATGAAGCCGCGCGGAAACTTCCGCACCGCCGGCTCCCTCGCCGCCGCCGCCGCCGCCCCCGCCGCCGCGGCCGCCGCCTCGGCCGCCGCGGCCTCGGCCTCGGCGGCGGCGGCGTCCTCGTCGGCGTCGCGGCCGTTGATGGCGACAGCCAAACCCTTGGCGGCGGCGCTGCGCGCGCGGGCCAGCACGCCGAGCACGCCTGGCGCCTTAATCGCCTCCCGCTCGAGCTCGCCCTCTGCATAGTCCTCCGCCGTGTAATCCTCGTCGCACCCGACGCCCGCAACCTCGGACAGCGCCGCCTCGGGCCCCGCGGCTGCCTCAGCCGCAAACGCCGTGGACGCCGTCGCGGCGGCCTCCTCGTTCAGGGGAGCGGCGGCGCCGCCGCCGTCGCTGCCCTCGTCGGACGCCGGCGCCGCCGCGTCGGCTTCTGGCGCGCCCGGCTGCAGCGGCGCCTGCAGCCCGGCGCGCGCGCGGGACTCGCTGCCGCCGCCGACGGCGGTCGCCAGGCCGCGCGACGCCGCCTCGCGCGCGCGCTCCAGGCGCTCCATCAAGGGGGCTGTGATGTCAGAAACCTTTGGTTGGTAGCCGGGGGCGGAAGCTTCCGCCCGCAGCTCCCCGTCAGCGTAGTCATCGGGGGCGAACTCCTCGCCGTCCCCCTGCGAGTGCGCCGCCGCCGCGGCTGCGCGTGCGCGGCTCTGCTCAGTGCCGTTGACCGCGGTCGCCAGCCCGCGCTGCGCCGCGCCGCGCGCGCGGGTCAGCAGGGCCGAAACCGGCGCGGCCGCCGCAGCGGCGGCCGCAGGCGCGTGCGCAGGCGCCGCATGAGTTATGGGGCCCGAGTCCTGGTCCTTGCTGCTGCTGGTGTCGTCGCTGATGGCAACCTGCGGGATGAGCATGCAACAAAGACCCAGTGAGTGAGTCAACATGCGCATTCACTGCCTTGTAGATGCCGGTGATTGAAGCCTTCACAGTTTAAAGCGTGCGGCTTGTCATGCCTGCTTTCTACAAGGGCGGCGCGGCCAGAACACGAATTCGACCACGGGAGCGCCGCATCGGGGGGCGCCGCGGCGGCACAGGACATGCGCCGACGCCAGGCGCCGCCCGCGGCGCGGCGCACCTCTCCGTCTACGCTGCCGTCTGGTGAGCGCCTGCTGCCTATGCCGAGCGCCTCGGCGCGCGCGCGTGCCAAGGGGCCCAGGGCGCGGGGGCTGCTGCCGTCGGATGGAGGCTGCGGCGGCAGGCCGGGCTCAGCCTGCGGCGGCGGACGCAGAGGCGGTGGGTTTTGGAATGGGTTGGTGTTCGATCCAGAGGGCTGTGTGGTGGAATTTAACATTTTAGATGCAGCTATATTGGGACGGCGAGCTGCCGCGCAGCAGAGCGGTTGAGCGCGCAGGGTGGCTGGGGAGGGGGCCCTTGGGCGGCGCGTGCTTGTGCCAGCAGGGGCAGATGGCGGGAAGCGCCCGCAGGGCACCCCGCGGCAGCAGCTCCCGGCCCAGCCCAGCTCGCGTACTTGGTTGCATTGCTCCCACCGACGGTGGCATGCACAGTGCAGTGCGCGCAGCAAAGCGCGGGAAGAGGTGTTGAGGGCGTCGGACCTTGGGGCTGCTGCCGGGTGACTTGGACTTGACGCGGCGGAAGAGGCCGTGCTTCTCGGAACTGGGCCTGCAAATCATCGCACAACAGGATTTTTTGGAACCTTGACGGTATGGATGTGCTGCGGCAGCGGCGGCTGCTTTGCAGGCCGCCCAGCGTGCGGCCAGGGTGCCCACTGCGGACACCATGCCGCGGCCGTGGGGGCGCCAACAGTTGGCTGCCGGTTGGCACGAGCGCCTGTTCCGCCGATGAGGACAATACACGACGAATCGAGGTGTTTAAGCTGCTCTTTGCGCGCTTCGCTCACCTCTCATTAGGTGCTGGGGAGTTGCCGGGATCGCCCTGCAGGTTGCTGCTGCTGCCCTTCTTCTTGGACAGGGAAGAGAAGATATTGGAGAAGCTGCTCTTTCTCTGCATCACTCCAGCTTTGGCCCCGGCTGCAGACCCAGGCAGCCTGGTTGTGTGCGCTTCGCCAGGGCTCAGCCTGATCGCGGCAGAGTCACCTCCCTTCACCGCCGCGTCGGATCTATCATGGAAGTTCTGCACATCTGTGTCGGCTCCAGAAGAGACGCCCATTGCGTATGACGCTGCTGTGAGTATGTGCTGCGACACCTGGCGGTCCAGGCGCCTCCAAAAACGAACGAGAGCACGTGAAGATACACAAACACCTAATTAAATTATTATGGCCCGCGAGCAGGATGCAAGAACGGAGCAGTCGAGGCGAATGGCCTCTCAACGACTACCTCAAGTCAACCAGCGTGTCGGAATGCGGCGCGTATAAGCGCAATAGACAAAATCAGTCAACATAGTTGCATGCCGCATCAGCGTGCTCAATTCTGTCCACAGAAACGTGCCGGAGTGACACACATGTCCGGTTACACCCGCTCAAAACTGATGCTGCACGCGGTTAGGAGCTTTGAAGTCACCATGAGAAGTTATATAGACGCAATCGGATGATTTTTTGCCCGTTATTCAGGCATTTGGCCAGCTTTCGCCGCATGCATTGCGCATCGTCGGTTGGTGCTGATGGAGCAGCAGGGCTGCACCGCGGGACGGCCGTTGGTCGCCGTCCCTTTGAGGACGCCCAGCCTTGATGCGTCGTGGATGCACATGCACCTGGGGTCTTGTGCCACCCCTTGCGCCCAGCCGCAGAGCAGGTTTATGTCCATACAAGTATCCATATGGGCCCCTCGAGCCAGGTTGACCTCGTCAGTGCTCACCACTCTGGGGCGGCAGGCACCCGCCCCGGCCACTACATTCAGGGAACGCCGCCGTCTGCAAGGAATGTCTGTCGCATCCTTACACGCCAAACCCATCAAAGCAAGAGACAGCCAGAGCAAGTGCGTACATGGCAGCCCAACACACCCTACAGCGCTTGTGGCAGGGGCCAGATCGAGGGCTGGCGCCGAGCTGGGCGCCATCAAGCGCCATGCAGGGCGAGGGCGGCGCGCCTCAGCGCCCGCCGCGCGGACAACCGCGCCCGGCTCGAGCGGCGGAAGTCCGAGACCGCCTGCTGCATGCACTCGGGATGCAGTAGCCGCTGCGTGAGGGCCTCCAGGGCTCGGCTCAGGTCGCTTGGGTATGACGCCTCGTGGCACCCCAGTTCTACTGCCGCTCCCGCCGCCGCTGCGCTCGCGTCCTCTCCACCGCCCAGACCGCCGCCGGCGACGGCGCCGCGCGGCTCCGCACCGCCGGCCTCGAGCGCAAGCAGCGCGCGCGCCCCGCGGGCCCAGCCGTCCGCCATGCGGCCCCCTGGGTCCGCCGACAGTAGAGAGTCCAGCTGCGCCACCAGGCCCTCCGCGGCGCCGCCCGCGCCCGCCGGCGGCACCCTACTTGCGTCGTCGGCGCCGGGGCCGCCAGACAGCCATGCAAGCGCGCGCTCGAGGGCCGTTCGTGCGTCTGCGAGCATGCTACTGACCGCGGCGCCGCCAATCTGGGCCGCGCCTGCGCTGTCGACAGCCCCGGCGGCGCCCTGCGCCAGCGGGGGGATCAGCGCCACTCGTGTCAGCGCCGCAACCGCCGCCTGCCGCGCCCCCGCCGCCGGGGAGCCCAGCGCCCCGCCCGCCGCCGCGGCCGGCGCCGCCGCCGCCGCGGCACGCC